TGTCCCGAGAAAATTATAACTAATGCCCGCGATTTGAGAAGTAGTGATCAAATTTATGAATGGACAAAGGACCAGAAAGTGCTTTTTAAAGTATCTAGAATGTGTGATTTTGTGAATTTCTGAGTTGAACTTAGGTTTTGTTGCAAAGATATACATGTAAGACGTTGTAAGACGTCTGTTATGCAAAGAAATGTATGGCGCCGCCGTGCTGGTGAACTTCTGTGGTCCACTAGAAATGGCGGCTAACTTTTAAAACATAATTTCAGATACAAAGTAGCAAATAAACCTTATTTTCACTACAATTAGCAATTCTACATCTATATTAGATTTAAAGAAACTACTTTAATTTAGAAGAAGTTTAGATGACTTCCACAGGCGCGTGACCATGCAGGCATTGTGTGACATGACACGGCTGCAAAACAAAACACGTTGTGCATCAAATCATTCCGATATATTAAAAATCATCCCGAAACTAAAATCGATTTAATGGGAAATTAACTTTTAATTTATTTGCAATTAAAAAATACTTTTGGGAATAAGTATAAATTATAAATTTCGGTYGTGCACTATTTACAATAGACCATGCTAAAAGCACCGGCGGAATCACAATAAAAAAAACTGTATGCCGCTAAACATTTTAGCATGTTTGCAGGATTTCAAACTTCAATAGAAATTTAGTTCACTCAAAGTAATTTCCGATTTGTAAAGAATTTCAGTTTGCTTTTTTGGAAACTTTCATATCGAAATTCTTTTAAAGGCTTGCAATATTATATTATGATTACTTATTATATGTCGCATGTGCCATGTGAAATGTCAGATTAAAATGATATATCCTCTTGGCGTGACACGGACTTCAACTTTGTCGTGTTTTGAGCGATTGCTTATTAGTTATAACAAGTTAATTATGAACAATTGATGCGTAAATTTTTGTCGTGACAAAATGCCGCGTGCTCCTGCATAAAATTCTTTGCTAAAAAAAAACATGTTAGCTCAGGATAACATACATGTAAATCAATTTACAATTAAAATTCGTTTAGAATCAATGGATTCATTAGGCTAGGTATTTATACACATATGAAAATTTATAAATTTTTAACGACCCCTTCGACCTCCTTCGGTCGTGCACTATTTACAATAGACCATGCTAAAAGCACCAGCATTTTAGCATGTTTGCAGGATTGAAAACTTCAATGGAAATTTAGTTCACTCAAAGTAGTTTCCGATTTGTAAAGAATTTCAGTTTGCATTTTTTAGATGGCTTACAAAAGGCATGGTCTGAGTTTAAAGACACACTCTGTTATACCAGCATTATGGTGCGTTCATCGGAATACGTAAAAATAAGACTTCTCTTTTTCAATTCTAATACTAACATAGCTGATACCGTGAAACGACTAAAAGAAGAAGATATTGCAATTAATCGCAATACCGTGGCTCGTCATTTCAAGAAATTTAGAACTGACTTGTCTCTTTGCGACAAGTCCAGTCCAGGCCGCCCTGAAGTTCTATCTGAACGATACTATCGATATTTCSATTTTATTGACAACAAAATGATGGAAAACGATGAACTGACAGCAGCAGGTATGTACGAAATCTTCATGATGCTTGATTCAGATTGATTCCTTTTTTTCATTTTGATTATTTTCTCTCTACAGGACTTCAAAGACTCCTGAGGCAATCATTCCACATCAACCCTTCCGAATCAAGCATATGGCTCAAAAGGCACGCGAAGCTTTGTTTCCGTAAAAAGCACATGCCTCCTAAGCTAAAGCCGAAAGTTAAGCATCCTTTCAAGGTTCATGTTTGGGGTGGAATTTCTAAACGTGGGGCGACATCGCTTTTGATCTTTACTGGCATAATGGACAAGTTCTTTTTCACCTACGACATTCTTGGTGATACTCTGCTGCCATTTATACATGAAAAATGTCCAGATGGCCACAGATTCCAGCAGGACAATGACCCAAAGCATAAGAGTAAGTTCTCAATTACGAATTTATTTTGTTTCAAATCTTATACCTTTTTCACTTTCTTTCACAGGCAAGTTAGCATTGCAGTTCCTAGAAGATAATGATATTAACTACTATGAGACCCCTGCAGAAAGTCCAGACCTCAATCCCATAGAAATGCTCTGGCACGAAATGAAGCACTTCCTCCGTAAAGACGTCAAGCCAATCAACAAGGAAAAGCTGCTTGTTGGAATAAAGACCTTTTGGAATTCTGTGACACCAGAAAAGTGCCAACGTTACATTGGTCACCTGAAAAAAGTTGTGCCTAAAGTCATTGAGAGAGGAGGCAGAGCTTCAGGGTACTGACAGTACCAAAACTATTCAAACGGCTCTTTTTGGAGCCACCAATTGACTCAAAAGTCATGACAATGCTTTAGTTCATATTTAACGAAAGATACACAATAAGTATCTCTGCTATGAANTTGGTGATACTCTGCTGCCATTTATACATGAAAAATGTCCAGATGGCCACAGATTCCAGCAGGACAATGACCCAAAGCATAAGAGTAAGTTCTCAATTACGAATTTATTTTGTTTCAAATCTTATACCTTTTTCACTTTCTTTCACAGGCAAGTTAGCATTGCAGTTCCTAGAAGATAATGATATTAACTACTATGAGACCCCTGCAGAAAGTCCAGACCTCAATCCCATAGAAATGCTCTGGCACGAAATGAAGCACTTCCTCCGTAAAGACGTCAAGCCAATCAACAAGGAACAGCTGCTTGTTGGAATAAAGACCTTTTGGAATTCTGTGACACCAGAAAAGTGCCAACGTTACATTGGTCACCTGAAAAAAGTTGTGCCTAAAGTCATTGAGAGAGGAGGCAGAGCTTCAGGGTACTGACAGTACCAAAACTATTCAAACGGCTCTTTTTGGAGCCACCAATTGACTCAAAAGTCATGACAATGCTTTAGTTCATATTTAACGAAAGATACACAATAAGTATCTCTGCTATGAAATAAAGTGATATTAAGAATCGTTAAAATATAACATTGGGATTTATTCGGCGTTAAGGGCGTTTAGGAACCTAACACTTTGGATTTCCGTCCCCCTTTCCATGTTTTTAAGTTGAAGTTCGAAAGAAACCTCCAAAAGAATTATAGACAAACAAGGGATTAGATGAAAAAAGGCTTTCAACTATAGTATAATCCTTTAATTAACTCCAGCGTCAACGAATACTGACTATCTCTGAATCGAACGTCATAGATCGAAAATTTTGCTTTGTTCTTGTTTGCTGAATAGAATTCATTTGGTTAAAACACTTATCTTATGGAGCTCAAATCAGTGGCAAAYGAAAGATGATAATCTAATGAACGTCAGGCTCGTATCAAGAAATCGGCCATTGTTCGATTGAATAACAATAAAATAATATAATATAGAATAACAATAGAGTGATTAACACAATCAGTGATGTGAAGAGTCGGCTTTTGTTCGTAGCTACTTCGGATACCTCTTCATTTTACGAACCATTGTCGYCCATGGTTCGGGACCATTAATATAACCCAAGTTAAAGCACGAGAAGGGGTAGGAGAGGGTGATTTGTTACCGTCGTTTAGC